GGAGGGGGCTGGAGTCATTACACCTCGTTTGCATTGCCTAGAAGCCGTAGGTCCCCCCACCCTATTGCCCCTTTCTCCCTCTCTCTCTGGAGAGAGAGAGAGAGAGAGAGAGAGAGAGAGACGAGTCCCGCTGCAACAGCATGCGTGCAGCAAAATGCGTCTCACCGCGCGTCGCGTCCTCGGGAGAGTTTTGAGAAATGAGCGAGATTAGTCCTGCCGGCGGCGTGGCGTGGCGGTGCGGCGGGCCGGGGGGAGCGCCGTGCGCCTGCTCCGCGTCGTGGAGGTCCGCGCCGCCGCGCTGCGCCGCGAGCGAGCGGATGCATGTGGAAACCTCTCCCCGCCGCGTCGGAAGCTCCCCGCCAGCAGCGTCGCGCCGCGAGCCCCGGCGGGGCGGCCGGGCGGACACGCGCGCGCGGCGTGGTGGCCCACCACCCGGCGGCACAGGTAGGCAGCGGGGCGCGACAGGAGGCAACCGCGCCGGCCTCTGGTGGTAGGCAAGGCAGGAGGTGCCTTGCCCGTCACGTTGTCAACGTCGTCTGTGCGGTAGTGCCAGGCACGCGTGGTATAGGAAAACACAGTACGGGTTTCGTGCTTCATTTTAATTTGCCAAACAGCCCAACGTCCAACATATGTTTTCGTTTCCAGCTGTAACCTCGGCGCAACTCCGCAGGCAAGGCAAGTGACGTTCTTCATCTTTGTCGACGCCGTCGACGCCGTTGCTGCTGCTGCTGCTGCTCTGCTGCAGGTCGCCGATGATGAGCTCGGCGCGGGCCCTGCCGCCGGGCGATGCTGCAGCCGATTGCACGACAGTGCGGAGGAGATGTCTCTGGTCTGCTGGCTCTGGTGATTACACGTTTCCTTACCGCAGTCGTTGTCTGCAGGCGGGGGATATTATATGACTGCACGGGGGTGGTGCTCCCGCTGCTCTGCTCACCAGCAGAGCTGTGGTGTGGCATTTTGTTGTTTTTTTGAACATTAGTTTTGCCTCTCGGCCTGTTTAAGAGATCGTCCAGAAAGTACGCCCGGCATTGGCCGTTTGCGAACCTGCCAATTTATTTTAGCCGTTTGTAAGCTTGTAAGCTCTCATAGCGCCTGATGGGTAGGCAACATCTTGTCTGTGGTGCACGAGTGTAATGCGGGGTGGCCTATCCCGAGCCCCGCAGGCGCTGAGCTCACGTTACACGCCGAATGAATGGAAAGGAAGCTGAAGCGGACCCACTTTCCGGATTATCCCTCAGCGAGAGAAAAATACAGACCCTTCGCGCACTACTGTTTAGTCACAAAAGTGTTCCCTGTGCCCTGTGCCCAGTCCTCACTGTAGATTGCTTACGAACAACAGGCTCGTACTGCAAACCAAAACCTTCGTAGCTTACGAAATATTTTGAAGCGTTGTATTACGAACTAATTCTTCGTAAGCTTACGAACAAATACTTCGTAATGCTTACCGATAGTTCGTCAGAACCCTTCATTTCAAAGAATTGCTTCGCAATGCAAGCAATTCCTTCGAAATACAAAAATGAAATTGTTCGTAACGTTGCAAATCATTTAGTTCGTAAGCATTTTACAGTGTCTATATATCACACTTGCATGTCCAGCACACCACGATCGGAGGGTGGCATCGGGTGGCACAATATGTGAGAACGGCTAGAAATCTTACATGCGACTCCCGTAGTAAAGCAAACTGCTTTCCATGGGTTCCTCACAATATTTTTGTCTGAATGTTCGCGGGCCGTTCCTTTTCCGTGCTCCCCAGCACGTGCTGTCCATGAGATTTATTTTTCTCTTTGGAGCGGGGTGCGCACACCGCGAGGGCGGGAGTGGAGCGTCGCTCTGGCTGGGCGTGTCAGTGCCACGCCGGGCGTGGCGGGGTGGGGCGGGGTAGGGCGGCGCGGCGGCGGGCGCGGCTCGGAGCAGCAGAAAGGATGAACGTGTGATTTTGGAGCGTGACGGCTGCTGGACGCGCAGAGGGCCTTATGGGATGTGCGCGCGGGACGGGGGCTGCACGAGGGAGTCACGCCTTGTTAGTGTTGCCAAATGCGCCCCTTTTTGAGACCGAGCCGCGAATAACCGTTTGTATGCGGGGCAGGGCGCTCGCGTCGTGCTCTCGCGGGTGCTGTTGGTTTTGTCCGCGCCGCGGCGCCCTGTTCGGGTCTCGCCGAAAGTCGCTCCCGGCCCGGCCCGCACCGCCCGCACCACCCGGGCCTATTCCGGAGTTAGTTTTCCATCATGGGTACGCGAGAGTCCCATGCAGTGCGGGTGAGAGAGTGGGATAAAAGCATCTCAGTCGCTCCTTCCACGCCTTAGGACGCATCGCCTCGATCAGGCGCAGTTTAAGGGGGGGGGGGCGAAGGGAAGGTAGACAATTCGTCCTACAAAACCTCTGGAAGTAGGCAACTCACGGCAAATCGCACCCTCCGTCAGACGGACTTAAGACCGCGCCTGGACTCGATTGAGAGAACTGCCGTCTTTGTGTGTTTGGTCCATCATTTTCGCGAGGAACCGTCAGAACTGTGGCGTGTTTTGTGTTTACACCTGTTGACATCTGTCGTTTGCTTGTTCTAATGATGATCGAGAGGGCCGCAGCGAGCAGATGGACTTCTCAAACGGGTCAATTCGAAATCCGGGGGCCTGGGAAAGACCAGGCTTGGACTCGAATGCCTCCGAAAAAGGCAGGCAGGCGCGGCAGGCAGAAGACGGGTGTACGGTCCTCCAGTCTTGGGAGCGCACGGCAGGAGTACAAGTGCGAGTGAGATGGGCGGCTCGAGTGCCTCACTCGCACCTCTCGGGCCATCATCCCGGTGTTCTGCCGCGAGGGCGGGCCTGCGTGCGCACCCGTTTGAGAGCGCCGGTGAGCCCCGCACTCCTTCCCCGCCCCGCCCTGCCCCCTGCGCGCGGCTCCGCCCGCCCGCCGCCGCGTCGCGACGCCACTTTGCGAAATGAGTGACAATGGCCCTTGCCGCGCCGCCGCCGCCGCCGCTCCCGGATGTGTTCGGCCAGGACGACAAGCAGACCCGCTGGTCGCGGACTTCCCCGTGTCGTGGCGCGCACGCACGCACGCACACGCGTCTGCACGGCGACTCATTCACACTGGAGTGTCGTAACCCCGTGAGCCCGCTGTGCGTGACATCACCTCGGTAATGTATGCTGGTGGCCCATATAGCACACGCCGCCAAGGCCACCGCACCACACGACACACGCACACACTCGGCGCTCCTAATTTTATTGTTACTTCAGGCAGAAAGTGCGGCACACGGTCGCGTCGCCCGAAATTAAACGGCGGCCGCCTCCGAGTGGCCGGTGCCTGGCTCACACGCTCGCGCTCTGGTGGGCCGGCACGCCGCGCCAGACACCGACCCGGCCGCGGGTACTTTGGGCTGCGCTGCGCTGCGCGGGGATAGTGATTGCCTTGCGCGGCTGCTCCGTCACGCCCCGCCGAGAGCGCAGGGCTTCTGCTCGCATCCCAGGATGTGATCTGTCATGTTTCCACAGTAGGCCACTGGGAATACACCTTTTTTTATCAGCGGCAGTCTGAAAATGAAAGTTGGCCGCCGCAGCCGCTGCGAGTGAAGGCCTGCCCCGCCCGGGCCGCCCGGTACAGCCCTGCTGCCAGATAACTCACATTTCCCGACTGCATTGTGCGCACGGCCCGGCTGCCGCCTTCTTATGCCGCAGCTGCCCCTGTCGATTTTAGGAGGATTGTCGGGCCGGAGGAGCAGGGCAGCCCGAGCGAGATGCTCGCGGGGTAGGGAGGGAGGCGGAGGGCGGCAGCCGTGCTCGGACCACCCCACCTCGCTCCCCTGCTGCCCTCGCGGCCGGTCGCGCGGCGCAAAGAGGACCGCGAAAAGGGAAATCGCGGGCGCTGCTCCCCCGGCGGTCCGCGCCGCGCCGCTTGTGTGAGCTCGCACATGTCCCCCGCCCGTGGATGTCAAACCAGGTTGGGCTGGTGTTGAGATTCGCGAATGGGCCATAAAAGGAAATGAATGGTCGGTTTCCGGGGCGAACTTTCGCATGACGAAAATCATAAAAAGCAACGGGCTGCAGCGTCGCGTCGCGGCGGGGAGGTGACTCGTGGGGCGAGTCATTAGCGGCCACCTGGGCGCCCGGCCACCCAAATAGTGTCTTTTTACCATCGACAATAATTTATCTTCTAAAAAGAAATATTTTTTTAAAATCTTCCTTGAATCCGATGTTGGTTTGTTAAACGAGTTATGTTGAAAAATAACCGAAACGCTGTGTCATAGGTTAGCCACTCTACCTACTCTGAATTCGAATTCATTTTAGGATCACTTTCCCATTAAATGATTAATTTCTACATCTATTGCTTGATGTTTCCTTTTTTTGATGAGGTATCGCCTGGGCGCTTCGATG